ATATACACATATAGATCAAAAAGAGAGGACAATAGGAAAGAGAGAGAGAGAGAGAGGTAGGTTAAGTGAGAATGGTATTAAACTGAATTTTTCGACCTAAAAAGCCCCCCACCCCACACACACAAAAATATGATAATTAACAGACCTATATCAAACAAAAACTGTAGCCTCAAAAAGTAATAATCATAATAAATAAAAGATATAAATGAAAATAACAAAATAAAAAACATAAAAATAAAGGTAATTCAAAACGCCCCAGCATAAACAAAAGACGACTGCAAAACAGTCCTAGGCCTACCTCATCCACGTTGTCCAGGTAGACGGCCGTCGGGTAGTAATCATCGTAGTAGTATTCCTCCGCCTGGTCGCCGGTCCTCTCCAGCGCCCCCAGGTCCAGCCTCTCCTCGTTGCTCGCCGGGGCAGGAGGCAGGACGTTCGAGCTGCCGTAGTTGTCGCTGTAGTAGTAGTCGTATAAGGGAAGGATCTCCGGTTGTTTCGGGTCCTTCGTCGACGTCGGCAGATCCGTGGATGGGGGGTTTGGAGGCGTCGTCGGGGTCGTCGGGGAGGGTCCTTCGGTCGGGTTCTCGGTCGGTTCTTCGGTGGCGGTTGTAGGTCCTCTTGTTTTGGGTTCAGGGAGGTCGGGATCCTGGGGGGCTGATGAGGATTTTGTGGAGGGCGGGGTTGTGGCGGAGTAGAGAGGGAGTGGAGCCGGAGTGGTCGTCGTTTCGGGATCTAGGGGTCGCTCAGTCGTTTCCTGAGAACTAGGCAGTTCAGTCGTGGTGTCTTGGACGACAGGAGACTGGCTCGTCACCTCTTGGATGAGTGGACTGACTGTCGACGGCTGGATGGTGGATGCTCGGCTTGTGAGTTCCTGACTGGAATCGTCCTTGGTAGTTTGATACTGAGTGACTGGGCCCTCTGTACTTGGGGTTTGGGTATCTGGGTACTGAGTTGATGGGCCATCTGTAACCGGATACTGGGTAGGCTTACTTGAGGTTTCCATGTCCATACCGGAGTTCTTAATGGACATATCCTGACCTGATAAATCACTGGGAGTCTCCTGTACCGAGGCATCTAGTGCTACATTAGTGGTAAGATCCTGAATTATCGAGTATTCCGTGGTTGAATCTTGCTCTTCCATACTTACCATTGTTACATCACTTTCAGTTGCGAGTTCTTCAGAGCCCTGAGAAGGTTGGCCATTAAACACAGGGAAATCATAGTGCGGCGCCTCTCCATGATAGCCAGATGTATCGCCCTGGAACTGGAAGATGTCAAGTAACGTCATAGCTTCATCCGAGAGAAGTGGATCACTCATCAACGGGATATATTGATTGATACCATCGGTTGTCCATGGGTAATATTCAGTGGTACCATCTTTTTCCATCTGTAAGTTGTCACTAGGGATTTCAGGCGATGATGTCATGTCTTGGGACTTCTCAGGCGACGTGGTCGTTGGAGACAGAGTCGTCGCCGAATAGGATTCAACTTCAGCCTCAGAAAGACTCGTTTCTGTCGTCTCTTCGTTGTCTGCTTCCGTCGTGTTCATCGGCTCGGCAGTTTCATTCATACTGGACTGTGTAGTAGGGGTGACAGTGACGTCATTGACTTTTGTGACCTCGGATGAACTCACGGCAGCAGTTGGTGTGGTAGAGAGAGGAAGGGCATTCTCGGCGTCAGGGGCCAAGAGGATGTCCTGCGTGGGCCTTTCTTGGTTGCTGTTCTCTGGTTGCATTGTTGCAGAATCTTCTAGAAGATTCTCGGTGCCTGCGGTCGTAAGCATTTCATCCATTGCCTCATCGTGTTTCCCTGGATAATTCCAAGTCGTGAATCCGACCTCATCGCTCACAGGATTCTCCATTCCCGAAAGGCCGACGGGGCTGGAGTTGTAGTCGTCGGCAGGCTCCAGGTCGTCGCTGGGAATGGCAACGGTCGTCGGGGCGTCGCGGGCGGGGAAGGCGGTCCAGGCGGGGAAGCGGGAATTCCA